CCCCCCCCCTCCCTATCCCTCATCATCACTGTGGCAACCCTGAAGCCCCCAAGATGACCTCAGTCGTACCTTCTCGTGACACAGTGACACCTAATGGATGTATTTCATCTAAAAATGACTCCATTTCAGCAGAATTTCTTGGGAAAGTCTTGTCTCTTTTTCATTTCGTTCCTGGTTTGGGATGACAGGGACATCTCAGCCAGAAAGCACGGAAGGGCAGAGTTAGAGTTGGTTTACTATTTATTCAATTTCTACAGCTTCCCATCTTGGCAAACTCCTCTGGGCTTACCAGTAAAATCTGCCAGGGCTGCCCTCTTGCTACGCCACGGGGAGGGGGCGGCGAAAGGCAGGGTGGGATAAGGAGAGGGTCAGCATGAGGAAGTGAAACATCCCATGAGAGCCGCCAGCTGTTCCAAGGTCACGTGAAGCAATGCAGAACCACCCAGCCTGCGAAGACGGGGACTGTTACCCAAACCATTGGTTAGCCCCTGATCGCACACCGGTTGATAAACGGGGGTGGGTGGGAATCAGGGAAAAATTAACCCTGTGCTTTGGGCACCAAAACCTCCACCTTCTGTTTTTCTGATCGATTGAGTTCTAAATAAAAATAAAAAACCACACCAGGATTTATGTAAGTTTGTAGTTATAGAGATAGACCTAATTTGGTGGAAATAAATTTCATATGGTTTTTTTTTTTTAGAAGAATTCTCTATTTTCTCTATTTTTATTTCTATAAAAATCAGATTTAATCACAGTGTCTGAGTGGACGCTGCCTGGTAAGCCACCTCATACTCCCATTCTGACAGTTGCCTTGTGTCCAGGTTTTGACCCAAATCTGGCCATTTTGTCAACACGTTCTTGCTTTCTCTAGAAAGGCTCATTAGCGGTTGTGTTTCCCACCAGCAGCACCAAGGAAAATCTACCAACTCCCTTTCCTAAGTTGGTCTTTCTTAGCTTTGGCAAAAAGAAGTGTACGGATTTTAAATCCCAGGATTCTCACCCTGCCAGAATTCTGAGAATTGACATCCCAAAACCAGGGAAAAGACCCCAGAATTCTGCTATTCCTCTTTTTTTTTTTTTTTAAGCCACTGCTCATTGACGGGGTTTGATTTCTCAAGCTTGAGGTGCTGCTGTAATCTACAAACTGCTGTCCTTTGAACGGGGTGTGTTTGGTTCTCAGGCTTCATGTGCGGCACGTCGGTGCTGGACAAAGATGGGGTCAGCGCTGCTGTGGTCATAGCAGAAATGGCTGCCTGGCTGGACACCAAGGGCCAAACGCTGGCACATCAGCTAACGGAGATTTATAAAACGTAAGTCCTTGGCTACCCTGGATTCAAGAAATGCAAACGGCAGCGGCTGAACCCTTTTTTAAAAATTCCACAGCTGGAACAGAGGTTCACACAGGCACCGCTGCTGTTCTTTGCAAGCTGCCACAGAGATTCTGCCTGGCTGTCCCTGCTCAGAATAGATCCATCTTGGAATAGATCCAAAGGTGCTTTCTTCCAAACTGGACTTTCAAAGCAAGCAAAATGTTTTCAAAAGAAAAAAGCCTGAAGAATGTCCTTTTGGGGTGGGGGAAGCACCTTTGGGTCAACCGTGACCTGAATGACTGAGGATCTCCAATATACAGTAGATCCAGAACGTTTTCCTTCAGCCAATCCTGCCCTGTCTCCTCCTAGGTATGGCTACCACATTTCAAAAACCTCCTACTTCCTGTGTTACGATCCCCCTACAATCAAAAGGATATTTGAAAGGCTCCGAAACTTCGATATGCCTGATTCTTACCCGACCTCTTGCGGGACGTACGGTATTCTCCATGTCCGGGATGTCACCACCGGCTATGACAGCAGCCAGCTAAAGAAAAAATCGGTAAGTAGTTCCCATCTTTTGGTTCAGAGTGACCGAAGCTCTGTAGTTTGGCTGTTTCTAATCCAGAAGGTTTAGTGTCTCCTTTGAAACAAGCTCTTTTACGACTTGGTTTCATTTTTAATGGACGCTCTAGAAAAAATGCTTTCCGTTTTATTAAATGGATATAGGTAGTCTTCCACTTAACCACCCTTTGAAGACACAGCAGCACTGGAAAAAGGGACTTGAGTTAATCCTTGCACTTATGGCCCTTGGAGTGTTGCCACGGACACACGATTAAAATTAGGGTGCTTGTCAGTCTGCGATTTTTGGAATGGTTGCAGCATCCCGGAGTTACGTGATCACCATTTGTGACCTTCCTAGCTGACTTCCGACAAGCAGAATCAGTGGGAGAAGCTGGATTCGTTTAATGACTACATGGCCCACTTAACAGCAGTGATTTGCTTACCAATGGTGGCCAAAAAAAAAAAAGGTTGTAAAATTGGGGGTGTCTCACTTAACAGCTGCCTTGCTTCTCAGCGGAAATTGGCCCCATGGGGTTCCTAATTCAAGGTCTCCTGCATTGCAGATCAGAAGAATAGGTGTCTATGTTTATATCCTGCTTTGAAACGCACAAGTCTCGTTATTGGCCTGCTGCGAAAATTATAGGCAAATCCCAGATTTCTGTGGCAAATCACAAAATTCCAGATTTATTCTGTTTTCACAGAATCAATTTCCTCAAATCCAAAAACCGTCTTTTGAGTTAGGGCCATAAGGAGCCTGCCCATTACAATTGTAAATCTTGATGGTCGTAAAGTGGATTTTACGATCTTTTTTTGTGACGGGCATTAAGCAAACACTTCATTAAGCAACCACAGGATGCAGCAAACAACTGTAAATGTGGACTGGCTACCAAGTGCAGTCACATGACCACAGGGGGAGCCTCACCATTGGAAGTTCAAATCTGGGTCATAAGTACCTGCGCATAGGTACTGTTGTAACTTTGAAAGTCTCTGAGTCACGGGTCTTAAGTTGAGGACTACTTGTAAACCTTACACCTTGGCATGCCATGCAGGGCATAGGAACTAATTTTTACTTCCTTAGTCACCCCGCACTTGAAACGCACAAAGCATCGCACTGAAATGGACAGCCTGTTTGTTCTGATGATTAACGACCTGGCCTAAAGATCAGGAGACAGTGAGTTCTAGTCCCACCTTAGCCATGAAAGTCAGCTGGGTGACCTTGGGCCAGGAGGTGGTGAGTCCTGCTTTAGGCACAAAAACTAGCTGGGTGACTTTGGACCAGTTACTAGGAGATGGCGAGTTCTAGTCCCACCTTAGGCATGAAAGCCAGCTGGATCCAACCCTGGCTCCAACTAACCTCATCAAGTGGTTGAACTGGAGGCTAGAAGGGAGGGGGGGAAAAATCAACCTTATCTGGGAAGAAGGGACTGCAGAGATGTGTCTGCAGGACTGAGGCTGTGCCTTAAGCCTGTCTAGATAACTAGCCTAATTGTTAACCGTGGCTAATCTGGAGAGCCTAAATAATCTTGGCTAGCAAGCTAGATGAAAGGCAACCAGGAAGTTTCCCCAGTTGTGGAAAAATGGCCAGAAGCTTGTTCACCGCCTTGAATTGTTTGTAAAAGTAACACAAGGTGGGATACAAATAAATCAATATAAATGTTTCCACCCCCACACACCCCTCCCTCCAAACCCATTAGGTTCGGATTCCAGGCATCTGTGCAAGCCTACATGGGATCAGTACTTTTTGGAGGTGGGGAGGTGGGGAGGGATTGTGATTTCTGGTGCTTTTCCCCGTTGTCTCAGGTGTTGCCCGTGAGCAAAAACAGCCAGATGATCACCTTCACCTTTCAAAACGGCTGCGTGGCCACTCTCCGGACCAGTGGAACCGAACCAAAGATTAAATACTACGCCGAGATGTGTGCGCTGCCAGGCCAGAGGTGGGGAAACTCCTCCCTGTCAACGGAGCCTGATTCCTAGAAGGCCTTATAGCCAAGAGAGGGGAGAGGGGAGAGGAAATGGCCTTGAAGGGCAGGAGGAAGTCGTCCCGCCCCCCCCCCCCCCGAGCCATAGTCCGATAAATGAGGCTTGAGCCTTGCTGGGAAAGGAACGGGAACAAGAACAACCCCTTCCCTAGTCCGCGTAAAAGTAAAGGGAGGGAGGGAGAGGAAGCACACTCAGACGTGCAAGGTGCTGTTACTATGATTGTAAAGTAATAGTCCTCGCCTCTATGGTTTCTTAGTCTACCCTCCCTTTTAGGGTGATGACCGTTACTTCTGATTTTGGAAGGACCTTCCTCTTTGGATGCGCAGGGCAGCATATATTGCACTTTCCCCTCTCCAGCTTCCCAGTATCCCAACAACTAGGGTAGTTTTCCTCCTCCTCCTTCTTCTTCTCCTCCTCCTCCTCTTCTTCTTCTCCTTTTCCTTCCTCTTCCTTCTCCTTCATCTTCTCCTCCTCCTCCTCTCCCTCTCTTCCTCCTCCCTCCTCCTTCATCTTCTTCTCCTCCTCCTCCTCCCCCTCCTCCTCCTCTTCTCCTTCTTTCCTTCCTTCTTCCTCTTCCTTCTCCTTCATCTTCTCCTCCTCCTCCTC